GATGTTACAAGACGCCTACTGAGCTGCTATGAGTTAGGCACAGCACAGATGACAACATTTGTGGAGGAAAGGCTCTTTTGGAATGCCTTACCCAATCTCAAGATCAAGACCTTCACCACATTGGCAAAGAAGAAGAAAATCAAGACAGCTGACGACAAAACAATCACTGTTGCTGCTGATCGTGACTTATTTGGCCGTCTTGTGATTTCTGCAAAGTCTAGGGACATCAACCTGAAAGAAGTCCTGAGCTATGAACTCTCGACAGTGCCCTATTCCCTCGTACACTCGGATGGCAATCTCAGGAAAACCACAGAGTGTGCTTCTCTCGGAGATGGAGACCAGGGTGGATGTTCAGGGAAAACTTCCAGCACCGATGCAAGGGATGACAACTGCACATCTGATTGATGGTATGGCTTCTGTACAGATGTTAAAGTCTGGTGGTGTGTCAACCTTTGGAGAGCTCGCGTCCAAGCACTTCAGCCTCATCACTGCACCATTTGCTCAGAAGGGATGCATGCAAGTTGATGTGATCATGGACCAGTACAGGAGCATGTCAATCAAAGCTGGAGAGCGTGCCAAACGGGGAGCATCCACTGCCCTAGAGATCAAAATCCATAGCCCAGCAACACCAATTCCCAAGCAGTGGCCGAAATACATTGCCAATCCACAAAACAAGACTAATCTGTGTGCCTTCCTGTCGGAAACGTGGTGTCACATGGCACAAGAGAAGCTGCATCTCGGCCAGCAAATTGTCCTTGCTGGTGGTTTCAGAGATGGTCAGAAGGCGGTTCTAGTTATCAAAGGACACTGTGAGGAGCTAGCACCTCTCAGATCAGACCACGAGGAAGCAGACACTAGGCTACTGCTGCATGCGAAACATGCATCGCATGACCACAAAAGGATCATCATCCAATCCCCAAACACAGATGTAGCTGTACTGTGTGCCACTCACTTCAACAGTCTCGCCTGCCAACAACTATGGTTCCGCACTGGGGTTAAGGACAAGCTGAGGTACATCCCCATGCACAATTTGGCTGCCGAGTTGGGTCCACAGCTCTGTGATGCATTGCCAGCATTCCATGCACTGACCGGATGCGACTCTAACAGTTCACTGAATGGAATCGGCAAGAAAAAAGCCTTCAACACAATATGTGCTAGTGAGCTGCACCAGGAGAGTGTGTCTCAGCTGGGCAAAGACACCACAATGAGTGAAGACACTATCTCTGGGTGTGAAGCGTTTGTGTGCAGTGTATACACAAAGACAACAAAAGCTGGCAGCAAAGCCGATGATGTGAGGTACTGGCTTTTCTGTCAGAGAGGCCAGAAGAATGAGGTGTTGCCGCCGACTTCAGACAGCCTCCTTCAACACCTAAAGCGTTCAAACTACCAAACTGTTGTATGTAGGAGGGCACTGGATGCCAGACAGGACTTGCCAACACCCGAGCAACATGGCTGGAGCATCTCAGATGGTGCCCTGCAACCTGTGCTGGAGTGTGCTTCTCTCGGAGGGAAAACCACAATGAGATTGCCATCCGAGTGTACAAGGGAATAGGGCACTGTCGAGAGTTCATAGCTCAGGACCTCTTTCAGGTTGATGTCGCTAGACTTTGCAGAAATCACAAGACGGCCAAATAAGTCACGATCAGCAGCAACAGTGATTGTTTTGTCGTCGGCTGTCTTGATTTTCTTCTTCTTTGCCACCTTCACCACATTCAAGATCAAGGATTGGGTAAGGCATTCCAAAAGAGCACCTCATTGGTGTTGAGCCTTTCCTCCACAAATGTTGTCATCTGTGCTGTGCCTAACTCATAGCAGCTCAGTAGGCGTCTTGTAACATCTTGTGGCATTACACTTCTGTG